TTTGCCGTCGTGCGTAAACACGACCGAGTCGACCGAGCTGCTGTGGCCTTCGAGCGTTGCTCGATAGCGGCCCGTCGCCGTGTCCCAAAACTTAACGGTTTTATCCCAGGACGCCGACGCGACCGTCTTGCCGTCGTGCGTAAACGCGACCGACTCGACCCAGCCGCTGTGGCCCTCGAGCGTCGCTCGACAGCGGCCCGTCGCCGTGTCCCAGAGCTTGACGGTCTTATCGCCGGACGCCGACGCGACCGTCTTGCCGTCGTGCGTAAACGCGACCGATTCGACCGAGCCGCTGTGGCCCTCGAGCGTCGCTCGACAGCGGCCCGTCGCCGTGTCCCAGAGCTTAACGGTCTTATCCCAGGACGCCGACGCAACCGTCTTGCCGTCGTGCGCAAACGCGACCGATTCGACCGAGCCGCTATGCCCCTCGAGCGTTTGTAAACACGCATCCCAATTCTGATCCACCCGCGGTACTAATGAAAGCCAGGTCGGAAACTGGTTACGAAACTTTTTTCGGACGACGCTTTCCTCCGGCGCAAATACAATAGCAGAACAGTAGAGCTGGAGAGGCGATACGTCCATAATCGAGCAATGACTTAGAATAACCCGCCGTACATCACGAAGAAGCGCCGATACTGCTGTGCTGTTTTCCGGCTTTGGGCAAAGTTAGCATGTTCCGATACCGGCGAGAAAGGAGCAAAAGCACTTACATGGAGCAGGCCTAGCAGGTCGTTTACCATATTGGTACCCTCCCCGATCCGCCCTATAATGGCCAACGCTTCAAGCCAATGCAGGAGATGCTTAGTCAGAAAGCGGTCGACGAGATCACCGTCCCGTATCCGCCGTTTACTTTCATTCCAATGGTGTACCCAGTATCGACAAGCGTATTGAACGCAGGGCGGCAGGGCGGCACTGATAGTCTGCGGGCTGATCTCGTCCCGGAGCGTCCCGGGCAGACGCAGGCCGCAAACGTTTCTCTTAAGGTTGTCGCCGGTTGACAGCACTTCGAGGCAGCGGTTTGCCAGCCGCTCATGGGTGTCCTGCTTGTTAACCCAAAATGGGTTCGCATCGCGGTTTTCGTCGTCCACGAGGAAGTCGCGAAAAGACAGATGGAGCAGTTTGACAGGGACGAGGGGGTCGTTTGAAATGTTAAGGACAGAATGCAAGCCGCGTAGCTTCGAGTTGACATTTACCTGGGTGCTAAGGAGTCGTGCCAGCGCTGCGGTGGGGAGAGGATCGGCGAGGAGTACGATAGTGCCGACAATTTCGCGGAACCACCTAACTATTTCGGCTTTCTCATTCTCTGTACGACTGACCAATCCTGAATTTGTGCGCTTGAGAAGAAGCTGATTCAGAATTGGCAGATATGTCGTGTGAAGCTGAGACGGTCCGCCCTTTTTCCCGTACTCGAGGATCTTGTCCAGTTGCTCCCCGGGGTCACCGGAATCGCTATCGGCAATAAAGCGGCAAGCTGTCGATGCGAAGATGAAGAGCGGTACAGCCATGTCGATAAGACTTTCCAGCTTGGTGGACGGAGGCCAATCTGGCGGCAGCTCCGGAGGTGCCAGCTCCTTGTTGAAATTGTGCCGGATTCGAGCTAGCTCCGAGCGAAGAAACGTGGAGATGTCCTCTCTGACATCGGCTGCGGGAATTTCATGAAGGGCCAGGTCTTTGTAGCTGTCGCCGATGTCCTTAAAGCCAAGGCATATGGGCAGCTCGGGTCTGCTGGTGACAAAGAATCGGATCCGAACCGACGTTGCTTCCTTTGCTCTAGACAAAAGGCTAACCAAGGTGGTGGCGTCATCTTCCCGATCGCATTCGTCAAGCGCGTCGACCACCACGGCAAGCGGCCCCGGGACGTCGCCCTTGCATTTGTCCAGCGGCTCCAAGAAGAGCTTCTTGAACTGCTCTCCCATAGGTTTGTTGACGATGGCCGAGTCGCTTTCGATCGCGTTCTGGACGTGCGGGGCCAAAGCCGGCAGCTGGTGGAGGAGCTGAGTAACGATGGTGGTGAAGAACATGGCCGCGCTGCCCCGGTCGCCTTCGCCCTTTTTGAAGAAGAAGCTGGCGCTGGGCACCTTTGTGTCAGCGAGTGTTTTGGCCACGGTCCGAGAAATGGTCGATTTGCCGGTGCCGGCCATGCCGCGCAGCCAGAATATGCTCTCCCCGTTAGGATCCTGGATCCAGCTGTGGATATGGGCAAGCAGGCCCACGCGGGTGTTGGGGTGGCAGCTGGGGTCGTGTTCGTTTGCCTGGGCGTCGAATGCAGCGCCTTTTGCCTCCGGAAGCTTTTGCAGGCAGGCTTGAGTGCTGTTTATTCAAAGTTAGCTGCATATATTAGCCCTATACTTATCCATCATTGGGGTTGGTAGAGGCATCAAAAGACGAAAGATATTTGATCTTAGAACTGGCGATCTTACACTAGATTATTAACGCCCTTTTCCGTTTTTTGTACGGTTTCCTTAATTTCCTTAACTTTTTGTTACTTAGCCTTTATCCACTAGAGGAAAAAAAATAGGATAAAAATGGAGGATGGTTTAGAGATAATTGTGTAAGAAGAGGGAGGATACACAGGAAAAAGTGAGGGAGGGGATCATGCCCGTCACATACCTGCGCCAAGAACCTCCTCTATCCTTTTTTCGGCGTCGACCTGACTGGGCACAATCTGCCTCAGAAGATCCGTCGCATACGCTGCCGCCGTCATGGCGGCAAAACCTTGCCATTCCTTGTTCTTGTGCGAATCCGAGTAGTCGCAGATGCCCCGGATCACCAGGCAAGGGAAGTGGTTCATCAAACCGCCCGCCTCCATCTCGAAGCAGAGGACGCCATGCTCCGCCGCCAGCTTGTCCCGAATCTGGGCGTCCTTCATCAATTGATTGGCGCTGGCAACCAACCCGTAGTGGATCGCGGGATCGTCTTCGTGCTCGCCTCGTTTCTGCCGGGTGATAAGGTGCTTGGGATCACTGCTGCACGCTGCATTGCTGCAGCTGTCGGAATGCACAACATGGGACCGATACAGCCTATCGCTCGTGTAGCTTGGACGAGAGTATTCCTGGTAGAGGCGCGGCTTGTTTCTCAGGACTTCAGCGACCCGAGACTTGAATTGATGGCCGTGAACCTTATGCCGCCTTTCCAGACCGCCCATCGCAGTCCGAAGTGTCATTGGCGGCTGATCCAAAAACCCAGTATGGTGAAAAGCCTGGTTCTGAATCGTCTTTCCAAAGTCATATTGGAGTACGCCGCCTTTGCCTCCACCGGGGCTGCTAACCACAACGTCGCCGAGGCGTATATCGTGCTCTTTGCTCGGCGCCCCGCCTCCGATACCAACCATGAGCCCGAATCGGAGGTTGGGGAAGCTGCGTAGCATGTTGGCAGCCACGACTGCCGCCGCTGTTGTCCCATATTCTCCTTTGGGGAGGCCGGCTATCACAACGTTGTGGCGCCCGATCGTGCCCAGGGTGTAATCGTTGGTGTCGTTCGGGTCGAGGTAATCAGGGCGGTCATGTTCTTCTCCATCGAGGAAGAGCGTGGCGGCGACGAGCTCGGTTGGAATGGCGGCGATCCACCCGATTGTGTATTTGCCGGGGTCCGACATAGTGGATGCCGGGACAGGAGGAAGATGGAATATAACAAGTTATCGGAGGCAAGCAAGGAAAAGGAAGGCAGGGAAGACAAGAAAAAAAAGGGAGTAAATCAGTCGAGGAGAAGAGAGAGGAAAGGGGGCGATACGCAGCAAAGCGAAAGGAGCGGCGACGGGAAACTTTGGCGATATTGGGCTCGAGTCTGTTATTGACTTGGGTTCTTGACGTGGAAATAGGAGGCGATGCCGACGTGGGCGCGGGTGCTGCTGTGATATTGACAAGCCAACAAAGAAACAAATGATCAGAAAGCTGGGAGACTTAGACGAGCACAATTTAGCACCGCCGCCCTCTAGAGGGGAGCGGCATGGAGGGTTGGCACTACACAGCACACGGAATTGCAGCAGGCTGGGGACTCTGTGGCATACCTAGTATTGGCAAAGGTCGCGTTCTAGTTGGTTCACGCACCGATTTTATTGCATGTTAAGGACGCCCCACGGCGGCTAGGCATGCGGGAACAAGAAGCGATGCTTCGAGGGGCTGACGGGGCTTCCGCACATTGGGTGAAAATAGGAACAAACCTGCAGTTAGCGCATCCTGGTTTGCTATGCATACGACAGTCGTGTGAGGGGTGGTAACGAACGCTTGGTCGATCTGAAGGGCGGCGGAAATGGTATCCTGGTGTAGATAGAGGTTGCTGCCCAACTACCCCTTTACCGAACCCACCTAACGGAGCCCGAAAAACACCACGAGGTAGGGACTGCGGCCGAACGGGACAACCAAAAGCAAGGGAAAGGAAGATGTCTTTTCTTGTGATGTGGCCCTGCAGGCCGGTGCGCCTCCGCGGAGGTGAGGCCTCTGTTATGGCCGCGGGGCTGCCTGCCCGGGTCGCGTGGGGCTCGATAAAACCCCACCAAAACAGTTAGTCCGTAGATGCCCGATGATCCAGATTTTCTCCAGCCCTCCACGGTTGGATTTTGGGCTTTAAGGATAGATTCAATCAGGTAACCTGGCGGACCACGTCGCACAAACGCTAGCTTTGGATAAAGGATGTCGGATCTCCGGCGCGAAGCTCCACGTGGAATGTAAGTTTGGTCGCAACCTCCAAAAGGCCGGAGGATACCAGGCGGCAGGTGTGGCTGTCGGTTTGCGCGGGTGTCCGAATCTCGCTGGGCGCCCCTCCTCATCCGCCTCCATTCCTCTCTTATTCGCGGTGCACAGCCCAGCCATCTTCTTACGCACTCGACCGGCTTGGATGGTGTTCGGCTGGTTTCGTCGGAGAAGCTGGTGGTAACAAGGAATCTAGCGCAAAGTTCTAACCTACGCCTCTAGAACAAGAGGCTGGCTCTTATCGTTCGTTAATGGTGTAGTTGGTGGCTCTTAGTTGTTCGGGTGGGAGGGTGCCGACCAGCTTTTAAAGACAGAATTGCTGTTATCAGACCGTCGCACAGTGACGCTCCGACTAGCTGCACTGGAGCCGTTAAAAAAATCCCGCCGTCGCAGTGGCTGCAGGAGGGAAGACTGCGCCTGCAGGTGTGTGCGGCCCACCTGCTTGGCTACAGCTGGCGTTTATGGTGGGCGGTTGACGAAATATGGGCCGCGCTCATCATAGCACACCCCCAAAGTCTTTGGCTGCGCTTCATCGAGATACAGAGAGCAGGGTTGTGACTGTGGGTACGCAGTTGCATTTTAATGAATCCCATACTGTTAGGTTTTTTCTCCATAGACACATTTTAGCGTCAAAAGGTACTTCCAGCAAGGAGTGATGATTAGGGATAAGTTGTATTCTTGTTTGGGTGGAACGGTACTACGTAAACTTACTCCTGTACCAATGTAATGCTTCAATTCGCTGCTGCTGGCGGAGCATTTTTCCTGGGTCGCGGGCCAGGCCGGAGAGGCCAGGGTAGAGGGGCATCGACACTGGAGTGTGGGATTCACCCAAAGTGCACTGTTCCATGTTCAGGAGCCGGAGGGCAGTGGAGGATTTACGGCCCTTTCTGGACCCGGCGCCCAACGTGACTACCCTCTGTGCGGGATCTCAGCCAGGATGAACCTGTGGCGCGGGCTGGCCCCGGTCGGTCTCCGTGAAGTCCTACTCTACGACTGAAGCGGAGCATCCGGCTCAGCCTGCCGGTGAAGGTCTTGCTCGGTCTTCGGGGAGTTACTGATCACAGTGGTGAGCTGTGCGCACGCGAAGAGAAGTCGACCCCTAAATTCATCATGATGTATCGAGCTCCGAAGTTCTCGTCGGAAAGTAGTTCTCCGAGGTGGTTTGCTGCAATAGAAGCTAGAATCTGGTAAAGCCCTTTGTCGCCAGTTATCTCCCGAGTCTCCTCAAGAACGCCAAGAAAGGTATTCGCCGAGAAGCCAGTTCTAGCGAATAGTTCCTCAATCGTACGGCTGGCAATGTCTCGCACAAGGAAAACACCGGGTTGGAATTTGGCCCTCCAGCCCCCGAACTTTTCTTTGGCCGGGCCCAGGGGGGGTCCAGAGGTCCCTTCCGCCCAAACCCGGCCCTACTCTTTTTCCGGCACTTTGCCGGCCGACTGCTTTCCCTACCACCAACAGCTGCGCTTATAGCGCCCCGGTGTTTGTTCGCCCTTTTGCCGATTGCCCGCTCACCAACAAGAAGCGCCGGAATGCGGCCCGACTTCCGTGTGCCTACGGGTTTACTTTGTTAGCCGCCTCGATAGCAACACGTAGGCTAGTGTCAAGCTTAGGTAGCGCTAGCACGTCATATGCCCCCTGGGAGGCAGGGAATGGTAGATCCCGACTAGCTGACGTTAAATATACTCGCTCACTCACTCACTCGCTGGCCGAACGCACTACTACCACCCGCTGCGCCTACAACGCCCCGGGGATTATACACGCCCCATTGCCGATTGCCCGCTCACTAACAAGGAGCGCCGGAAAGCGGCCCGCCCTCCATGTGCCTTCGGGTTTAATTTGTTAGCCGTTTCGATAGCAGCACTTTAGCCTGGTAGATCCTGATTTTGCCGACGTTAAATATACTCACTCAATGCAGGCACGCCGGCCTTGCATTGGCGCTATGAACGAAGATTCTACACCGAAGAGAAAGGAAAGGAAATGGCGCTGGTCGCGCCGTCGCGACACGCGCCTGAAGTTGTCGTGATCTGTGTGGCTTACATGCTTGTATCTGCTCCACAGCTGTGGCGGTGCCACTGGATCTGTCCTAGCCGCTTCATGCTGCCTTTGGCCCTCTTCGAAGATGTCAGCGGATGTCCGGATATTCAATCCAGCGCGCGCCACGTTCTCGCTCCCTGATTGCTCCCGTTCCTTTCGCACCCCTTAATCGTCAAATGACTCTACCTCTTCGAGAAGTTCCCATCGACGCCCGTCCCAAACTGGCCAAAGTTCGTCGTCCCTTGCTTCCTTTTCGCTCGCAAAGGTAGCCATAAACGCTTCAAACTCAACTACCGGATCGCACTCAGCCTCGGAATGGTCTCGTGCGAAAAGTCCTTGCCGATGGAATGCCTCCAGACATTCAAAAAGATCAGCCCTATGTCGATCTGGCAGGTCCGGCAAATTCGCTTCTTGAAAATAGCCTTGGGTAATTAGGCTCCGGAAGGCTTCCAGAAAAGACCGGAAGAAGGCGACCGCCTCCGGGCTGGGTGGGGGTTGGATGTTCAGCACGTCGGAAAACGCACTGGCAGCGGTAACCCTATCGACGACGACCCGACGCCACCATTTAATATTCAACCTCCTCCCTCTGGGGGGCAGTTCAAAGCGGCTTTCCAAAAATACAGTGACAGGCAGTGCCTGGCTGTTGTCTGGGATATGTGGATCCGCACCCTGGCGCAGAAGCCAGTCAATCATTAGATAGTTGCGCTGGCGGCAGTGGCGCATGAGTGCAGTCTCGCCCTCCTTGTTCCGTAGATCGATGTGGCTGGCCCCGTTGAAATGTTCAACCAGTACGTTTAGGTCCTCCCAGATACTACCAAACCACTCCCACCCACTTCCTTCACGCCCGGTTAGGTAGTGGAATGGAGTGTTGCCCAGGCCGTCACAGAGCTTGAAGGCTGAGCCACGTTGAAGCAGTATCTCAACCAATTCGACGGGGTCCGAGGAGCGACGGGAAGCGAGAGTGTGGATTGGCTGGCGGCCTAACAAGTCTTTGGCGTCGATTCGCGCCCCTCGGCCCAGGAGTTGCTCCAAATTGCCGCGATCCTCGCATTGATGGAGAGGGGTCTGACCCTTGCCGTCCCGGGCGTTGATATCAGCACCTTGCTCTAGTATAAGGTCCAGGTACACTGAGTCGAACTTCCTGGGGGGATAGTGGTCCCGCCCGTGTAGAATGCTCCTTCCGTGGCGATCGCGATGATGCACAGATGCACCTCTTTCCAGCAGTACCCGCGCTGATGGCGTTCCCCCGAAGAAGAGGAGCGTTCCCCCAATGGCAAACACCGGTTTGTTGACCAGATCTGGAAAGAAGTGAGTAATCCAGACCGCCAGATCTGGCAGCAATAGGCGTGACCTCTTGCCAAAAGCCTTAGCCCAGTCTGCCTGAGGGTTTATAGCGTGCACAAGTGGGACCAGCCGAAGGTGGTGAAGCTCGGGCAGAAGTTGCAGCTTATGCACAAGCTCTGTGTCCAACTGGATCCCTAGGCGGTGGCGTACGATGGCCATATACATGGGCGTGAATTTCGGTGAGATGTCGACAAGAGAATCGGGAATTCCCTCTTCAGTCCCATCCCATCGCTGACAACTGCGAATGTGGAATTCCCAAAGGATACACGCGTAATGCTGGAGACCCCGGAGCTCCTCGCTAAAGTGGCCGTCTATTTTGGAGTCGTACATTGTCCTGTAGGGGTTGTCCCAGTCGTGGACCCTGCGCCTCACAGTAACTCTTATTTTCTTCAAGCCGCAAGCCACCACAAATATGCAAGCTTCAGCGAGCACTTTGTGACACCAGTAAGAGGGGAATGTGTGCTTCCAAACTGAGGCGGAAGCTTCGGCTGTTGTATTGGATTTCTTGAGCACAGGAGCCCAGTCGTATGGGTTGTCATCATCTGCGGGATTGTCCAAGAGGAACTCCCGCGCAGTCTGATGAATGAAAGAAACACGGCCGTGAAATACCTGAAGGAAGAACCCACAAGTGTTCAGCAGCCACTTCTCAAAAGCCTCGACATCCGAGGCCGAGCAGGTATGCAACAGCCACTCCTCAGAAGCCTTGAAATCCGAGGACTTATTGGCTGCGGGTAAGTGCTTGCTTTCAATGGCTGAAAGTTCGTAGATCACCATCAGCTCATTTATATCAAACCCTCTTACACCCTGCAAAATAGCGGCGAGAATGTGGCGGATGCCAATACGGCTTTCCTCTGGGACTTGGCCAAGCAGCGCCTCGTACGCCTCGTCGACGTCGGCAGGAAGCGAATCGAACGAGCGCAACCAGTGGCCGTTCTTGAACGCGAGCTCCGTCTTCTCGACTATCTCAAACATCAGGCTAACCCAGAGATAGGTACGGTTCTCATGCTCCCTGAGCTTTGTCCGAAGGCTCTGTAAGACCTCGTTCGAGGGAGGATTGCGGGGGAACCTTCCCGGGAGCTTGTCCAGTCTGTCGTCGATGGCAGCGTCGATTTCTCGGCTGATCTTTGCTAGCTCGGCCTCGCCGACATCCAGGTTGACGTAACCGTTCCTGATTTGAGCCAGTCTTTCCCGGATGTACTCGTAAGGGCGACAGGCGATAAATGTCTTAAGGCGGGGGGGCGTTTTGGAGCTATCATTGTAATACTCCCTAAGGAATCCGGTAAGGGTGTTGCATGACTCTTTGTCGGCTTCGTCTAGACCATCTAGGGCGCAGATGACCTGTGCGTCCCCTTCCAGCGCGTCGGCAGTCTTCCGGAACAGATCCCAGAGTGCATGCACGTCATTTAAAAGGACATGCCCTGGGCTGGTCTCAATATCGTCTTGGAACTTGAGGATAAGCCTCCTGCGTTGTATGAATATTTGATGCAGCATCGAGCAAAGGCAGGCGGCCAGTGTGGCCTGGACCTGGCTGCCGGACCTCTTGAAGAAGTAGTAGCAGACCACGACGTCCTCCCCGGGCTTAGCTATCGCCTCGTCCACCAGACTCTTGGCGATGACAGATTTCCCGGAGCCGGGGAGAGCAGTGAGGACCAAGGACCCGGCGCCGTATGGGCTCTTCCACTCCAGGTATCTGGGATCCTTCCGAAACCATTCGCAGGTGCCGGGGGCCGCCGCGGTATGGCTCGAATGGTTCTTGAGGGCTTTATAGTCGACATTGGGGATCTTGAAGGTGGCGATCAGCCGGTTGATCTTGGTCCGGGTGCCGTCATCAAGCTGCTGCAGCTCTCTTTTCTCGCGCCTCTCGTCCCTTTTGTGTGCCTCGCCAAAGTAGTGGACGGCGGCCTGCATGAGATGCTCGGTCCTTTCGGCGTGCTGGAGAAGCTGGGCTCTCAGCCTGCTGGCGAGGAGAGCGTCCTGGGTCTCAACGTCACGCAGGAAGGCCTCCTCGGCACTTTTGATGTCCCTTAACCACGCGTCCCAGTCGTTGGGGCTGACCAGGTCTTTGAGGATGGTCACCGCCTGGTTCATCCTTCCGTAGTAGGCACAGACGCTTTTGACCTGATACTCGATCAGGGCTTTGAAGAGCCCTTCGAGCATGCCCCTGAGAAGTTCCTGTGCCGCTGCCGGCTGTAGCGCCCTTGCCTGGCCCTGGTTCGCAGGGTCAATCGCGGCTTCCGACAGGACCAGGCCGGTGAGGGTTCTGTACCACTCCACTCTCTCGACCACGTAAGTGAGACCCTCGATGCACGACCTCCTGGCCTCGATGCCCGACGTGCAGCCGTTGAGAATCAGGCAAAAGCCGGCAAACCCCAGCGACGCCGGCGGGGAGACTTCCAGGGCGGCGCCGATCCTGTCTTTCAGGCCCTGGACCACGTCTGCGGCAAGAATGAAGCCGTCTCGGGCTTGCACCTTCTCCTTCCACTTATCCATGGCAACGTTGGCCAACCTTCGCATCTGCTGATATCTAAAGGACGGCTCAAGGGCTGCGCTGTTGTCGGCCACGGTTTCGCCAGGCGGAATTGTTCGCGCAATCTCCTTGTTGACGATATTCTCGAATGCGCTGGACAGCTCGGGATTCGCGAGCGCAAAAGCGGCATATGCGGCAGTCCATAGCTGCTCTGGAAGGCCCGGCTGGGTCACCAGTGGTGCGGATGGTGCGGGGACGGTGGGTGCAGCTGGTGCAGCAGGTGGAGGAGCGGGGTTAAGCCCGGTCCCCTTTTTGCCTTTCCCGCCGACCTTCGAAAGCAGCTTTTTGAGGGTGCTGGGCATGTTGCGCAGAATGGCTTAGTAACAGGATGGGGACGCACTAGTGTACAGTTGATACTGCTGACTTTTAGATGTGCTTTGTACTGACAACGCTTCCCCGCCTCACCCGTCTCAGAAGGGTTGTGGTCAGGCTCTCGGCGACGCCTAATGACCGCAGCCAAACGGCATGGCTGCCTCCTATATAAGGCACCGACTCCTTCACCCCCCTCCCCCTCCTCCAAAACGGCTGCCAGCTACCCACATATTCAGCCAGTAGCAGTGACCGACAGGTAACCAGGAACACCGCCCATGGCTGGCTTCAAGGCGGAGCTGCTGCCTTTGGGGGCGGGATTCGCCTCCGCAGCAGTTCCACTGGTTGCTGGAGCGGTCACCTGCATTCCCGTCGCCGCCCCCTGCGGTAACGGGGCTCGAGCCACGAAGCCCGCAGCTCCCCGCCATGTAGGTGTTGTAGCACAAAGCAGCATCGCATTAACAGGGTGTGGGGGAGTCTGCCCGTCCGCCCGACTGCTCCTTCAAATATAGAGTGTGCCCTTGCTGCTCGAGGAAACCCACCAGCTCAGCGTTGTCAACGCGCTCCTTAAACTGTGCCCCAAAAGGCCTGGGGTCTCGGAAGTCCAAGCCCAGTCAGTCAATACAGAGAGCCAGCCGGGGCCACCAGTGCGTATTGTGTTGCTGCTAGCGCTAAGTGCCCGTTGCAGGCTGCTGATTTTGAGCCAATGCGGCGACGGCGCCAGGAGACCCTGCCGAGCAATGTCGCATTCACGCTCTCTCTGACCCTTGAAACATCCACCGAAACCGATCTTGTGGACGTGGTCGCTTCAGCTTTGCGTGACCCCATTTACAAGGCCGACGCACCAACCTGCAGACCATCCGTCTGGTGGTGATGTCAGATAAGCGCGTGTCGACCAACTCGAAACGCGTGGATATTAAAAACTCGTGGCTTAGCGAGGCGTATTACGACGGCAAGATCGAGTTTGCTTATATAACAACGGCGGAGATGCCGGCAGACGGGCTGACGAAGAACCTGAAAGTACGTCGGGCTGAAGGACCACTGCCCCTGGCCGCCTTGATCGCGGGGGTGGCCGCGAATGAGCCCTCGGGGACGAGGGCAATTTTACCCGAGACGAGGACGTCGTGGGCGGTATTATTGGCAGGCATGCCGAAGGCCTTGATGATGGGATCGTGGCCGGCGCGCTCCTCGGTCTCCGTGACCGTCATGACAGACTAGTTGCGCTCGCTCAGCTCGACGAGGTGGCAGCCATGGATCCGCAGGGGCGGCTGGGGCACCTCGGGGCTCACAGGGGATCGCACGGCGGTCTCGGACCAGGCCTTACGAAAAAGTGCCGCTGAGCCTAGAGTTAAACACGGCGTCCGTCTCCGCTGCTGTTCGCAGATACATGTAGGACTACCTATGCCTTACTCCACCTGTTGCCTGCACCAGGTCAACGGTGACGGTGGCGGCCCCTACACCTGCTCCATCAACTTGGACGCCACAGCCCAGCAATGGACCCCCATCCAGGTCGCCACCACGCCCCCGGGCCAGAATTCCCGCAATCGTCAAGGCGCCGCCACCGATTTCCCCATGGTGGCTGCCATCCCCGCCTCGCAGCAGTGCACGGGAACCGCTGCCGGCCAGAAGAACGTCTGTCTCGTCCGCTGCCAGAACGCAGCCCGTACCGGTCCCTTCGGTGGCGTCGTCCCTATCCAGATGGCCGGTGCCGGCGCGGGTGCGGCCGCTGGCAGCTCCATCGCCGCGAGCGCCAAAGCGGCGCGCAGCAACCTCGCGCGCGAAATCCTCCGTAGGGAGGCGCTTTTCCGCAAGGTTATGAAGCGCCAGCAGGCCGAGGAAGACGACGAGGAGGACGAGGAGTGAAGCGTCTACTCTTGACTGGGAGAATAAGATGACATATTTTAACATGATTTAATGACTCATACCCAAGACTGTTGGAAATAGTGCAGAAAAGGAGGTCGACAGGGTCGTAGCAGCCCCGGGACAGTGGATATGCGCAGGAAGTCATCCTTGGCCAGATCACCGTGGAACGCCATGGGCTGAACGCAGCCACAATGAGCGTCGGATGTATACAGAATATTTAGGGCTGTCTTTAGATCGGGGCCTTAAGTCCGGCTGACAGGGGGGCAATACCTGGGGCGGGGCGGGGCGGGGGAGCAGCCCGGCGCGGAGGTAATAGGGACCCTAAGCAGCAAACGCCGGGCGACATCGTGCCTAGGTATCCAATAGCAATCCCCCGGTGTTAGCCGGCCTCGAGCCGCCGAGCCGCCGAAAGGGCACCAATGTCTGATCTAAGGTGTATATATATATAATATATACTCGGCCAGCTCCTCGGCTTGTCGCCCTGGAGTGTTGTTTCTGATGTCCGACATAGCAGCCAGCAAACAAATCTCGATTCAAAGATCCTAGGCGCACTCTAGAATCCCAAGAGGTTCGGTGGATACTGTGCAAGTCAAGGAAAATGGCACCCTCGACTATCGTTCTCATCACAAGTAGGACCCCTCGCCCAATCAACTTGAGCTATCATCACGTACAGCGGCACAGTAGTGCGGACAGGAGCCTGCCGTGATGCTGACCATTGCCCCTTCCCGCCCGCGTCCAGGAGCAAACGCCGGCGTCGGCTTCGCCAGCGCCAGGGTGATCGCCAGCTCGTAGGACAAGTACCACGTCATCGTCACGGGGCGGACGCTGTAGAAGGCCCAGAAGACGGTGGAGCAACTCAAGGCGACGGGCCAGCTCAAAGGCACGGTCTCGGCGCTGCAGCTGGACCAGACGGACCCAGACTCGGTCGAGCGCGCGGCCAAGGCGGTCGAGGAGCAGTTCGGCCGCCTCGACGTGCTCGTCAACAACGGCGCTGTCGCCTACATCAAGAACGAGGCCGGCAACCTCGCCATGGGCGCAAAGATGATCGATGCCTTCAAGCTGGTGCTCGAGACCAACGTGGTCAGCCTCTTCACCGTCTCGGAACGATTGGGTCTCGCCGCTGTCGCTCGACTTCCCCATCTTGAAGTACAGTACCATCATTTCGGAGCTGCCGCACACGATCAAGGCCAAGGCCCTTTGGCTCGCGCCGCTAGATCTTATGGCAACTTGTGTTTCCAAAGCATCTCTCTAATTTGTTTCCCAGGTGACAACTCAGGATTATATCATAACGCAATGGACGAGAGTGCAGGCGGGACTGGCAACCTTGGCGCACCCTAAAATCGGCTCTATCTTTTCCATATCGGAAGCAGGAGATCCTGTCATTGGCAGGTTGGCTAATGCCGTGACCGAAGGGCTCGCGAACCCGGGGCCGTTTTCCAGCGAAGCCGAGTATTTTGCTGCAGTCGCGGGAGCCGCACTCGATAGTTACAAGCCGGGTTCATCTGTTCGAGAGTAGAAGAAACTCGGGCCTATCCGATAGGTTGGGCATCTTCATATTTGCGGACATTGTGCGCAATACGGAACTGTTTAGGAGCGCCGACGCATCTTCGTCTTCTGCGCAATTTCCGCTCAACCACATGGATCTCGGCACGCAGAATATCCTGGTGGACGAGGAATTTAATTTCCTGGCAGTTATCGACTGGGAATTTGCGCAGATCGCACCGTGGCAGGTTAACCACAATCCCTTCCCGTTCCCGCTGTTTGGGTCGGAGAGAACATCCGAGAGGCCCTCGAGGACCCGGGACAAGTTGCACCCAAGAACGTGGCAAGACAAGCAGCCACTCGAGCCATGTACGTCCAGAGGTTCCGGGATGCGGAGTCCCGAGTCCGACGGGAGGGACGGGCCCTTGCCGGAGGGTGTTCGTTTACCAAGGTGCTAGACGGCGAGGCTTCGAGGATATATGCTTGCTTCACCAGGCTTCAGGGGTCGTGGGAACAGGACGCAGGCCACGGACTCGGCGAAGTGCTATATGCGGGAGATGGACGTCAAGCTGAGGCGAATGGAGTAGGCAGACCACTGGTCCCCTTCGACGCCTACCGCATCTACCGTGAGCCTCGTCGTCAAACGAGGCTATCTTGTACAACTCAAGCTTGCCCGAGGAATAGAAAATTTCGCGTTCCATCTCGTAAATCTCCACGGACCATTGGCCGGTCCACACAGGAGACGTGTTATTCTGGTGTAGTGCGCCGGGGAGTGCGACCGTCGCATCAACCCTAAACCACATCGTCAGGGAACGCCGGAAGGACTCAGGCGCTTCACTTCCACTAAGGGGGATTTTTGTGACTCCATTCGTGCCCATCGAGATGCTGTTGCAAAAAGTAATCGTTCCAAAGAATACAAATTGACAGGCTATCATACCATCCTAATATCCAAACGAAGCCGATCTCTAAACTTAGCCCTTCCTCCTCTTTGTTGCCACTGGCCCTGTAAATGAGGTATCTGGAGTCAGCCCTTGCCGCTTAGCGCTGCTCGACTGCGCATCCCGTTCGACAGGCTTTGAAACGGAGCCAGCATTTGACTGCATCAGAGACTTTAGGTCCTGGGAAAGCCCTGTTTCCTTAGGGAGCGGCGGAACGTTAAAGTCCAAATCCGACGGCAACTGATCAATGGCGGAGCAAATGTTCTTGAAATGAGCGGGCATCCAAATGTCATAAAACGTTTTTGGTGAATCGATATGCTGTCCATTTGTCCTTGCCGTCCAATTCTGTGAAAGAGAATTCGCGGATCGGGTGACGGTAGTACTTTGTGTCTTTCCCAACTATCACAGGGTAGTGGCCGTAAATCCGCACTGACCTGTGGTCATGCGAGACTGAGAAGGCGAGAATCTGGCGGTGGACTTCACGCTCACGCTTCACAGCACGGAAAAGCTCGCCCGGACCCCCCAGTAGTGTTAAGATTGTATACAATAAAAACTAACGCGTAATGTTTTTGGTAAATATCAGCCCTCCAAGTGCGCCCCTGCAGCATGGAGGGATTGCGTGATCAAGCTTTAATTGCGGCTGGCAGTGGCATTTTCCCCTCCCCTTTCTTCGTGACGCCGAGTCCTTCGCATCACTTACACATGCGACGCATGGGCGGACACGATGAGGAACGAATGGTTTCGACGTCCCAGTCCAGTAAGCTGGACAACGCACGGACTGAGAAATATGCCTGCTCCGGTTCTGCCGGCCATGGATTCAACCGCCCCACTCCGAGGCGAGCTGGGGCACTTGGAGCTGGCCGCTGGACCGGCAATACGAGGCGCTGTCCTTCGTTTGGGACGAACCCGTACTTCATTGCGGCAGATCGGCGAACCTGGCCCTGACCCTGCGACGGCTCTGGCTTGAGGCTGGCCCACACGGAACAATCCGGTTAATCCGGTTGGGACGCGGTTTGAATCAATTAGACGGACGCGGACCTGAGTACGCTAGCGAAGTGAGCCAGGATGCAGGCTAAACTCTAGCTCCTGCGGGCGCTGCCTGGCTTGGCTGGGCTCCTTCGAGCAGGACGATGACTCCGCCCGTTACGACTATTAGTTTATTTCCGAAGGGTGTTTGCGGCTGATGCTGTCTCCCCCTTCTAGGAGCATAGCGGACCACGATTTCAAGTCATTGCGCGCCATCGCGACCACATTTATGGGGTCTAGCCGCCGGTGGCCCCGGCGGAGGGCTAACGGCTTCCTCCGATCAGGGAAGCTGTGGGAGTTGTTAGGGACACTTGACTGGTCCTATTTGCAGGGAAGCCCCATACGTGACATTGATACCAAGCGCCGCGGCGGCCTTAGTTCAAGCCACAACTGGGCCGCTCTTCGAATACCGGATGGTTGGGGAAAAGCGCCGGCACTTGCCGGGATAAGGTGGCAAGAGAACTGCCTGTGAGCCAAGCTTGGCGCCAGCGTTACTTGCATGTCGTTAGTGGCGTTCGTCTAGAGTGAAGGTTTAATCCTGGCTAGATTGGCTCCTGTCGCTTTCTATTCCTTTTAAATGCCAATCTTACCGACTTCGACTCCTTTGAATTTCCACATGTCTTACTAGCGAAGAATGAATAAAAATAAAACCCGCATGCCTGCATTGATAGTCGAAGGTGAATGAACCATGGCGCATACGCTACTGCATACGCCAACCCCCCCCCCCCCCCGAAATCTGCTTGCGAACCTGAAAACGAACAGCCTGCAAGAAGCTTGCCCAGAAGCAGATTAGCGGTGGATTGCGACGGCTGGCTCACATGTGGAATATATCTTAAAAAGGATGGCCACAAGATCAAACCTGAAGGAGTTCGATCCATGGCATGCCCGTTTCGGTCACCGCAAGTCAAAAAGCAAAACATACAGTATTCCCAATCGGACGGTAGCCAATTATGAAGCCCGGGCCAGGCACCACGGTTGTTATGGTAAGGACCCCCTGTTTACGCCCCATCTGGCTCCGGTTTTTTGGCGAGGGAGATCTCATTCTCCAGACCTTCTCGTGTTTGGATGGCCAAAACGCTGGTCCGAAGCTCACCCGAAACGGAGAGTTCGCAGTTTCGACGGGAGCGGCGCGTTGCATGAAAATCTAATAGTTACTTACACCGCCACGGCTTGCAGGTGTTCGAGTGGGGCTTGATCACCACCGCCGCGCTAATCATCGGGGCGCGACTACGGTTGCGGCTTAAAATTCAGCGTCGCTCGTTATGGATCAGTGATATCCTCATGGTTTTGGCCTGGTTTTGCTCCATCGCATCGGCAGCGTGCGATACCTACTTTGCCCATATGGGTGCCCTCGAACCCCATATCGATACGGCGCTGACCCGTTGGGAGGGTTCGCCCGGGGACATGATTGTAATGTTAAAGGTAATAAAACACCTACGGCTTACTCTAAAGAGCGGAACTGCGCACGAATCCCTAATATTTTGGGCAAAACAACAGATTTTCTGGGCCAGCACCTTTCCTTTTTACATGACGTTCTACTTCTGCAAAGCCGCCCTCCTCGCTACCCTCTTCCAGCTTATCCCCCCGTTTATGAAAAAACGCCGCATAATTCTATGGGCCGTCACGGGTTATTGCGTCGCCGCCTTCATCGTCTCCATATGCTACCACCTTTTCGGATGCTTCCCGCCTTGGCTGTACTGGTCGATCGAAGGCGCCACCTGCCCCCGCCTCTTTGGCCGCACCTCGTTTGAGATCGGCTGGGCGCTGCACTTCACGGGCGACGTCCTCATCTTCTGCGTGCCGTGGCTCTTTCTGCACGCGCTACAGCTCCGGCGCGCCATGAAGGTGGGCATCTGCTGCACGTTCCTGCTCGGCATCATCAACATCGTCTTCTGCCTCGCCCGCTTCGTCGAGGTCGAGAGGGCGGTCAGCCCGACGGGCCTGTCCCTTAGCATCGTGACGCTGTGGAGCGCGCTCGACTGCACCATCTGCGTCGTCATCGCCTGCCTGCCCTCGCTCCGGCCGTACCTGCGGTCCCGGAGCCAGGCCAACACGTACGCCGACCAGTACAACTACGGGGCGAGCGGGAAGAGGCGGTCCACGACGGTTCCAACCAACGCCACGAGCGCGACGCGGGCCGGAGGAGGCCCCAGCACGCTCCGCCGCGGCTCGGCGGGGTTCGAGCTCATCGACGACGAGGGCGCGCCGGAGTCGTCACCCAGAACCATGAACGTTTTGCGCATGACCACGATTCGGGTTCAGTCCGGGACTGCCTCGGGCGCCGGATCTAGGGCCTCATCCGGGTCTCAAAACGACCGCCACCTGGAGGGAGGCGATGACGGCCAGAAGGGCGACATCGAGCTGGTTTACGTGGTAGGCAAGTAAAGAGGCCGGTGGTCAGACCTGAGAGGGTGGACGTGGCGTAGCCCACCATGAGGTGTCGGCGAAACGCATCGTATTTCCCCTGGCTTAGTGTCTTAATAAGTGTGTATAATTGGGTTACCAAACCGCGTCCTTGGATAACTAGTTAAAGGAATGATTTTAACAATTTAAAGTTTTATTTTTATTAAGTTTTGCAAAATTTATGCTTGTTTAAAAATTTGCAAAAACCGGCGGTTTTTGGAATAGTATGGGAAAACCCAAAAAACCATTTAGTGTCAAACAGCCCCTTACGTGCTGATCCCGACCCAGCTGGGCGCAGTGGCCAACGGGCTTCTTGCCGGCAACGGGCACCCGCCGTACCGCGAGCTGGCCGTCTGGCTGCTGCTAAGCGTCCTCGGGGGCAAGTCCGGCATTGGTCTGGCGCTGGACCTGGCAAAGGTGCCGGTGCGGCAGTTCTCGGAGCGCGCGGTCGCCAAGGCCGCCTTTACGCACGTCATGGCGCTGCCGATGGACTTCCACGCCGAGCGCGATGCCGCCGAGGTTATGAAGGCGGTCGAGCAGGGCGGCGCGCTGATGCGCGTGCTCGAGCGCGCCGCCACCGAGGTGCTGCCCACGGTCGCCGACCAGGCATCGCCGCGGGGGTGCTGTACGCGCGTTTCGGCGCCCCCCCTGGCCGCCGCCATCGCTGCCGCCTTCTTGGTGTTCCTGGTGCTGGAAGCCTGGACATCGACGCGGTGGCGGATCGCGCCGCGCCGGGCGATGGCGCGCGCCGAGCGGGAGGAGGCCCGCGTCATGCACGGCGCTATCCAGGGCTGTGCGGCGAGGCGCAGCGCCTGGCCCTGGCGCGCGCGCTGCTGCGTGACCCGCTCGTGCTGGTGCTCGACGAGGCCACGAGCGCCGTCGACTCGCGTACCGAGGAGGGGATCCAGCGCGCCGTCGGCGCGTTCCGGCGCCGGCGCGCGCGCACCACGCTCGTCATCGCGCATCGCCTGTCCACCATCGTCGGCGCCGACCGCATAATGGCCATGGACCAGGGCCGCTGCGTCGAAAGCGGCACGCACGCGGAGCTGCTCGCGAGGAGGGGAAGGTACGCAGAGCTGTGGAGCAAGCGGGTTGGAGGCAGCTTACTATGTTTGCGTTGGATCTCTCGGAGAACACTGTCTCTAGTCCTTTTTTTTCATTCATCATTCCCTCGTCTTGTCTTCTCTCTGAAGAAGACTGTGATCTTCGTGGTCATATATGCATATGATAGGTGATATGTGCACACATGCACGGACCACATCCGGTTGCCTCTGGAACCTTCTGGAAAACACCCTTATATCTGACACCATGAATCCCAGGTGCGGAAAGCTTAAAGCCGGCGCGCCTGCCCGAGGACTTTAAGTGTGGATACGGCAGCGACTGGTGTAAAAACTTGGGCAACGCGTACTGGGTTGCGGGCTGGCCTTTGTAAGAAAATAGCAGAGGGCAAGCTTAAAAGTGCTTATCAGGCTGCTGCAAGGTCGCACGAAGCGGAAAGAACGTGACGGTGCCCGAGGTGGATGTGAAGCAAGGAGAGATGGTGACCATAGTTATTAATCTTTATTAAAGCACAGTTCCATGCCATTTTCCTTCATGTGCGCACGGATTGTGACAACCGAGCCCAGGTCGTAGCCATCATCCGCCTCTTTGTGATAGCGGTTGGCTTGGTCGATAAGGACACGCGAGTGTGTAATAACCACGATCCAGCCGGCAACCCGGCGGGCGGCAAAGGCGCACCAGCGCACGACGGCGGCCTGGCCTGCCTCGTCGAGGCTGTCGAACACCTCGTCGACCAGCACGTAATGGGCGCGGTGGGAGCTGCGCGCATGGCGCACCTGGAGCAGCGCAAAAAACACGGCGAGGTCCATGCGCTTACGCTCGCCGCTGGACCGCTTTCCGTACGCGAGGGACGGGTGGACGGCGAGGGTGTTGTCGAGCACGGGTGTTGCTGTGTCCACTGTGTCCAGGGGTCCACCGCCGTCGTCGCTCTCGAACAGCGCGCGCAGGATTCCCGTCGTCATGGCCCTCGCGTGACGTGTGTCGTCATAAAGAACCGTCAGGACCTGCGGCAGAAGCGTGTTCAGCTCGGCGAGCGACTGGTTGAGCACGTACTCGCGGAAGGTGGCGATGGCTTTTGTCGACTCGGCTGTCGAGATTCGGCGCGTGCGCTTCGCGAATGCCGAGGCCCAGAAGGCAAAGAGCTCGCGGGTGGCCGCCAGGCGCACAAGGTCGGCGCCAAGGTCTTCATGCTCACACCGGAGCGAGGTGAGGCTCGCTCTCTTCCCCTCGGCGAGTCTCTCGTATATTGCCGCTTCCCCCCTTTTCGCGGCCAGCTTATGCTGCAAATTCTCCTGCTCCCCGGCCTGCTTTTCTCCCGAGATTCGCGCCCTTTCCACTCTTCGTGCCAACAGCCTGGCCTCATCAAGGTGGGAATTTCGCTCTTGCTGCAGAGTCCAATGCTCCCTGACGGCATGACCGAGTTGCTCTTTTATTGTTTTGGCAGTTTCCAGCGGCATAGCCGATACTACCCTCTCCGCCTCTTTGCTGTCCATGCCACGATTTGCCGCCACTCTCGCAATTGCGGCAGCCGCCTCGGTGTCAAACTGAAGCTGAGAAACAAGTCGTGTAATATTCTTCATGTCCAAGCCGACAGTCACTATCGCCGCCTCGAGGTCTTTAAGATTTTTGTCTTTATCCATTTTGAAAAACCTGGCCATGCGAGCCCAGACTTTTAAAGCGGACAACTGAGTGCGGATTGCGAGGATTGTTGCTAAGCATATGATTTTCGGCAAGCCGACGGGCTGCGCCGTAGATACAAGTTCGAGCTCCCGCAAACATCGCTGTTGCGCTCGATCCCACCACGTTGTTGGTCTGGCTGCTTCTTGGTTGATCAGGCGATTGTATTCGATCCGGAGCCGTTCCAAGCGTCCTTGTTCTAACCAAAGGCGTCGTTGAGAGCTCGAAATCTCGGCGTGGAAGGCGATGCAAATCTCGGCTGAGTCGTTCTGTTCTAGCAGCGGCTTCATATTCTGCCTGATGAAAGCAATCCGCTTGTCCACTTCCGCAAGGTTTTGGGCTGGTGTTGGACCCTGCTCGACAGTTTCCTGTTGTGCTGAACTGTGTTGCTGCGCCGCGGCATCCAGGGTCACGGCCACCCTTTCTGCCTCCAGGGTGAGCCGCTTTTGTGATTTTTTTAAGTCCCTCTGTTCCCTCTCGTTGGACTCCATCACTCTCTCGACACCAGCAATCCTTTTCTGGATTTCGGTCACTTCCAAGTCAAGGTCCTTAAGGATAAGCCTCGACATTTGCCCACACCGGGTCAGCGTGGACAGTCCCAAAGACTGTTCAATGAGGTTTCGTCGCTGTGTTAACGTCGAGTTCAAGAAACTTGCTGCACTTTCGTGGCCCAACACAACTGACCGAACGTACGTCTCGTAGTCGATGCCGAGCAGCTCGTCTATGGCTGCTTGCGTTGTGCGCGCATCAGGGTGCTCCATCTGGGTTTGCGGCTCGCCGTTTAACGACACAATGATGCGGTTTTTGTACGTTTTGTCCTTGCGGTGCCTTGTTATGGTGTAGCCGTTGGAAAATGCTAAACTGACGGAACAATCCTTGCCCGCCGTATCGTTGATGACATCGTTGGCCGCCAAGCCACTGCGGATGCACCGCCCAAACTGACACCATACCATGGCCTCGACGATGGTGCTTTTGCCAGAACCATTGTCGCCCACCAGAAAGACTAGTCCGCGCGGCAAACCTCTCTTGAAGTCAATGGTAAGGACGCCTTGCACACCGAGAAAGTTCTTGATAGTTAGAGATTGGGGCTCTGCAACAAAGACATCGCTCGATGCTCTTGCTAGCGTAGCCGAGCCTTGTGAAGTCACAGGACCTGGATTCTCGCCGAAAAAATCGTGATAGTGGATTTCTGCCTCGCTGTCCTCATTTGTGAATGTACTGGAGGCTTGGATGACGCGCTGCCCAGCTTGGATCAGCTCCTTTCGCCTTGGCTCAAGGGATGAATCCAACGATAGGGTTTTAACATAATTCTGCGCCTCGGCCCCAAGATCAAGCCGATGTGGTGTTGGCCCTATCTCCGTCTCTAGTGGGACCGAGATGTCACTCTTTGTGTCCCGTTCCACCGAGTCCTCGGCTGGCTGTTCCAGTTCTTGGACGGCAGCATCGCTCGAAGGTACGGATGCGCCGAAGGCTCCAGAAGCTCGATGGCCGGCCTGGATGACAGGGCCCATGGGGCTCCAGTTCCGCACACTCCGCACGCCGAGGGACAGCAGCTGGTCGCGGGCCGTTGCATACTTGAAACGGGTCAGCTCGCCGAGGAGCATGACGTGCTTTTCCGCTATAGCTGCCACGTCGACAGTTCCATCGAGTACATCATTGACGTCGATGGTAGTGTAGCCTATGGCGTGTGGGTTGACGAGCATCTCGCACGCGAGCGTGCTGGGGTCGCACAGAACAACTCCCCGCTGCTCGTCGCGCAAGTCGGCCCAGGTCAGCTGCAGTGGTGAGCCGAGGTACATCACGCTGCCTTGCAGGGGATCCGTGTGGGCAGCACTGCCCTCCGGCGGCTCTTGGCGCAAAACTTGATGACTGTGGAAATGCCCCGTAAAAGTCCGCGCGAGCGAAGCGAAGCGACCCGGGCCGGTTAGGCCTCGGTACCTGATGGTACTAGGAGGACGGGGCGTTTTCCTGCTAGGGCTTGGCACAATATGTCGTTGGGTGATAGCTTTGTTAATAGCCAGATGGGCAAAGGCCAGCGTCTCCATCGCCTCGGCCGGATCCAGCGCGTCCACAGCGGCCGTAAGCTCTTCTTGCTCCTCGCGGAAGGGCAGAAGCAGCACGCGATGGCCATCCCAAACGTCACGCTCGATCCCGCTGTGCAGAGACACAAACGGAGACAGCCGCCGCATGCCGAGCGCGTCGAGGGCGGTTGTGCGGTAGTCACGCCGGTAGGCCAGGTCGTGGTTGCCGAGCACGATGTTGATGTGCGGCACGACGTCGCTGAGGTCACTGATGAAGCGGTAGCACGCCGACAGCACGTGCGTCGGCTGCATCGTCCGGCTCGTCAGCAAGTCGCCGCAGACGATGACCCGCCGCACGTGGTGCTGCTCGGCCTGCGCCACGATCCATTGCGCCGTGAGCCGTACGCGGTCCAGGTCCTTGTGCTTGAAGTGGAGGTCGCTGAACAGCAGCCATCGCGCGCTTCTCTCAGCTGCCGCCCGCTGCATGATTGGACGGACGACTAGGGTGGACCGGCGGCAGGATGCGACATTGCGAAGCGCCGGGCAGTCGTGGTAGTTGGACGTTGCAGTGAGGCTCAAGTGCTTGTTTTCTTTGGGAAATCGTGCTTCCTTCCAAGCACGCAGGCCTAATTTGTCCCAGCGGCAAACAGCGCTGTGACCAGGCGGGGTCAGCACTGAACGGCTGTGCTGACGTTACCAAATGCTGACATACATGCAGCGCTCAAGCTGCTGCATCCAGCTTGGCCATTTATCGAACGCTCCTTTAGAAACATCAACGCTGTTTGATATTATCTCTTACACCCTCAATGCCTTTTCCACATTTCCAACTTGCTTTTCGTCAGTCGCCGCGAGAGTGCGCGGCGAGATGAGCTCGTCCGACCCGGCAACACTAGCCATCTCTCGCTCCCTATCCAGAAAGCCCTCGCGACCCTCCTTGGCCAAGAACTCCCGCGTGTTGGGAACAATGCCGTCGTAGCCCAGAGGGATTACGCTGGGCTTGAAGAAGAACTGCTAGTAGACCAGGTACACAGCGGCCGACGACACAAAGGTCAGCTGCCAGCCCATCATGTACATGGACTTGGCGGCCTGGCTAATGACTTGCGGCTGGTACTGGCCCACGAGGCCCGGCAGGCCCATCGCGACGCCACTAGCCCAGGCGAAGACGCGACCCAATGACACCGGACCAGAACCAGTAGAGGCCGCCCTTGCGTGCTCGGAAAAGGGAAGGGACGTGAATGTTGCCTTTGCGGATGAAGTAGTCGACGGTGGTGGTCTGGGAAGATGGCGCAGAGAATCTGGCCGCGGCGGATGGTGATCCAACTGGGGAAAAGGCCGACCGTCTCGACGGCAGATTGAGGGCTGAGGGCGATATCAGCTATGTTTGGGTGCCGAGGGACGAAAACGAGTTAGCAGACCAGCACTGCGATGAAGCTCTCGATAAGCAGGAAGCTCTCGATGAGCAGGAGGTGTCGGATTGGGATGATTACTGTGTATGAGAGGAATTGATGCTTGATTGCAGTCCAGTTGACCATTTTGCCTCCGGGAAGTAGACGTCCTTATATACACGAAACGGCCGTCCCCCCTGTCCTTCCGTCGTGCCGGTACAACGCATGGCACTGCAAGGGTGCTCGGCGCCTCCTTTTTCGGCATGATGGATGCCGGCAGACAAACTGTCACCGGAAATCCGGCAGCGTCTGGGCAGGATCAGATCAAGCGCAATGTACGCTAGGTCGAAGCACCGACAGATCATGTGACAACCATGACAATCAGGAAACGCACTGTTTCTATCTGGAGGGCCTTCTTCCCCTCCTCTGGCTCCGTGTTAAAGAACATTCTTCGCGGCACATGGCGGCCAGAACACTGTTTCGCAGGGCCGGAGACCAAGTGTGCGACGCTCCTTAGGGGCCGTCGGGAACCGCCGCCTCCCCACGGGAACAAAGCCTGGGGATGTCAACGTCAGGAATCCCAAGCCGCCGCCCAGCGGTGATATTGTGACCATGGCAGAGTCACAGTCGCCGTCCCTGCGTCCCACGCTGTCGCGCACCTGCCGCGAGCCGGGCTTTTTCTAACGATATTATGCATTCGTACTCTCGCCACAGGCTTTATGTCTTGCCCATTTACTGGACCAACCTGCATATCAAGTCGCTCAACGTGCGGCTCGAGCAGCAGTCGCCCATGATCTCCCCAGCCCCGGAGCCCGATCACGCCAGCATGCCCCCGTTAGCTGCTGCGAAAAAGCTGTGCGCCGAGTTGAGCACCCGTCCCCGCCGAGAAGGTCCGCCCCTTAAAGCATTTCATATCCGGTTTCTTCACGGGCATGCCTTACAAAGCCAAAACCACGGTAAGCCTCAACCTCCACTTCGGCACCAAGTCCTACGTAATCCGGGAGAGGACATCGTTTTCGCAGGAGTCGGGCTGCAGCGAATTCGGCGCCAGCGGCGGCCGTACCAAAAGCCAGCGCAGCTTCGATTGGGGCAGACTCTCTCGAGGGGTTCGCGCAACCGAGCCGGCGGCTCCATCGGGGCCCCGAGGGTATCTCATCTATGCGTGTATCTTACACCAGAGTGCCTGTCTGGCCCCTCTACGGCTTGAAAGAGCGGCTAGGCGAGGCCCTGGGACCCGAGATCACAGGCAGTGAGTTCCTCGCAGCTGCCTACGACACATTCCACACCCTTGAGGAGCCTCCTCTGTACGTAGACCAGGAACGTTGGTACCGCGAATTCCAGCCCTATCGACGGGAGGAGCAGCAACCGAAGCTGCGCCAGCCCCTGTCGAAGAGCTTGGATGGCGACAGCAAGAAGCGGAGTCGAGAATCAAGTCGTGGGAATGACAACAGCGGTGGCGGTGACAGGTCACCTTTGTCCTCGCCCTCTAAGCGGCGTTGCGGTGCAAGCCTGACGGAGTCTGTGCAAGGTTGTAGGCCAGACGTGAGTCTGCTTCCGTATACCATACTGTGGGTACTTGCGCGGATTAAAAGCATCCGCGCTGAACCCCGGAGGGCCGTTTCAGCGCGGATGCTTTTAATCCGCGCAAGTAGATTCGGCACCGTCTCGCTCGTAAAGAAAGACTCCTGCCACGAGGCGAGAGCTCTGGAGGCCGGGATCTAGTCTAAGACATTGCATCGTCCGGGGTCAACTAGGGCGTCCTCAGCTTGAGGCTGGGGTTGAGGATCCCGGTGCCCCTGACCTGCTCTTCCATGTCCCGGAACTTCCTCTGGAAAGAAACAAGGACCTCGGCCAGCTCGGGGACGTGGGCATCCTCGAGAACCACCTTGACCTTTTCCTTCCAGGTCGAGAACCATTTGAGCTGGATGCAGACAAGGTTGCCGAGGCAGATGTTCCCGATCTTTTCCGTATACACAGGCAGCTTGGGCAGCTCTTTCTTCAGCATTTCGTTGAGAGCCTCGTACTGTTCAGCTACTTCGCCGAGCTGCTTGTCCACCTTCTTGCCCGCTTTCTTCAGCTGCTCCACCCTCTCGTAATCGACGCGGCGCTTCGCCCGCTTCTTCATCGCCAGGGACGGGCGGTCGTAGCATCTGATGACGAGTGCAAACGGTTCGATCACATGCTTCCTCACCTGGGCAAGGTGTTGATCCAGAGCTACGTTTTCCACGTTTATAGATATGTAGAACCGGGCCCATTTGCTTTCGATTTCCGGGTACGGAGACGGCTGAAGGCGCATCATGAGGTTCATTGCCGAAAGCAGCTGAAGGAACTGGTGGACGTATTCCGACACCTGCCTAGTGTAGAACTCGACATTCCTGAGCATGGCCTGAAGGCGGAGGTAGTCGTCGCCAAACTTTTCCTGCAACGCCTTGTATTCGGGGTCCTCTTGAATGCGGACTGTCAACACTTGCAGCTTGTCGACGCGTTTCCCAAACGCCCTCGCGAAGCCTGCCCGCACGTCCAAGCCCTTGCGCTTGCGGCCGACAATCTGCCCCACGAGTTCGAAGTTCTTTTTGGTCTTGTTGATGTCCAGGATTGCATTCTCCAAAGCGCTCCGTGCAAACATCAGAGCCTCACGATCAGGGTGGTCCTCCGGGGTGTATTGAAGGAGCTGGATGATCAGGTTGGGATACTTGGTGATGCGTTGCATAGGCTTGATCAGTAGGGAGTCGAGATTCCATGCGGCAGTGAAGTCCTTCGCCGCCTCGTTACACTCGCTCAGCCAGACTTGAACCGCGTCGTCCCCCTGTATCTGGATCAGCCATTTCGAGGCGGGATCGCTTGTGCGAAGGAAGGTCTCGTGGACAGCACGCATGCGCTCGATGTTCTTCGCGAAAGTAGGACCGATCGATGCCTGCCGATCCTTTGCATCGTCTGGCTCGACCGCAACCTCCTTGGCCAAGCTGGAGATGCCCGACTGGACCATCATGGATTCCGACATGGTGGAGTCCTTTCTGCTTTCCCTGATCAGCGGAGGGCGCCGGCTCTTCGGACAGTAAACGGCCGAGACAGCCTCTTTAAGCTCGGCCAGGAATGAGGTGTGGAACTCGATGATCTCGTCTGTGTTTCTGAAGATGAGCTTGATCGTCTTGGAATCCAGCTTGGGGCAGGCCTCCGCGGTTCCCTTATAGATCTCTTCAATGACATTCATGTCCCGGACGAAGGAGACTTCGGTATCGATGAGCTCCCTGATAGCGTTCTGGCGCTGCACCAGGCGGCTTCGCTCCTTTAGCGAGCTTTGCTTGTAGATGTTCGCCTAGTCCTTGGCCCCGTTGCTCCCAACTGTGGCCTGGTCGCCCTCGAGCGTCGACGCCCTGCGGAAGCTATTTCCGGTGCTGTCCAGGGAAGTGTTTCTGACTGAATGTGGGGTGAGCGTTTGTTGCACGAAACCTTCGGTCCCCCGTCTCGAAGGGCCTATAGAGAATGTGCTCCTGTCGTCTTTGGTCTGGGAATAGCTGCTCGGCTGGATCTGGTCATAGTAATCGCTGGAGGGGGTGCGACAGCCCTCCTGGATAGAACGATTGTGCGGCATCGGAATCAGCGGCGGTTTATGTTCCGGCCGAGCAGGTACAAACTTCTTCATAGAGTCGGCACGTAGTCGACCAAGAACCCACACCCAGTATCGAGTTCGGGAAACCGATGCGCGTCGGACTGCAAGCCACCCGCCAGCTGCCCGTCCGACTTGAACAGGTTCGCATCGTCATGCATATGGATATAGTGGGAAACGACCAACGCGCTATGAGTCTGGGGCCCGGAGTACCGCGCTTCATTCCGTGGTAATGGAGCTGGGCAGTTTATGCTTGCCAGAAAGTCAAAAGTGATACCTTGAGCCGCCGCTCTCAGGTTTCAGATACAAACAATGTTGTCTGCTGTCTGCACCCCATTGCAAAGAGTGCTCGCCAGGTGGAAATTAATAGCACCACCCCGAAAGGAAAAGTGTATGGTTCTGCATCCTTGGATTGGCAGCTGCAAGCTTTATCTTTCCTTTTCGGGCGCCTGCTACCTCCTTGCTTTTCGCACCTTTTTGTGGATGAAACGGCTCCGAGATTACTTGCGGTAGGGTCCTGTAAGATTTCGGCGATGCAACAGGACGAGGCGTCGTCGTGCCACCAGGTACAGAGCCCGTCCTGCGGCCACCTAGGACGCTGTAGACTTTGATGTTTGACCGTCGACAAGAAGACCCGCGAGCAGCAGGTGCGCCTTGTTAGAAACCACTTGGACAATCCGATGATGCCAGGCCCCCCTGTCCGACTCGAGCAATGGCTTCGGGCCTACGAAGACGGTGTAGACGGTGCTGATCATCCCGACGACAACAAGCCGGCGCCGGCGGCTCCGACTGAGACCAAAACTGGCGCCACTATGGCAAAAGACTCGTGAAGTTGAGCTCAGTTTTTTTCCGGTGGGAGGAGCAGTCTGTGTTCGGTCCCCTTCGAGGCCCGTTGACGAGGACTAGGGATAAATCGGTCAGAGAGGGGCAGGGCGGACACGGGAAGCCGCGGTGATACGTGCCCAAGATTTGGATCTTTAACGTTCTGGAGCACGCGCATGGTCGTGGCGCCGTACAGCTTACCCGGTTTTATTTTTGCAGGTATGTACAAAAGTCATCGCAGCGAGCAAGCTACCATACAGTTCAGGGCTACTCATGTCACCATTGTAGACTGGTGTTTGGATTATAGGTATAAATACTATGGATAACGCCTGCCGCGAGGGGCCCCAATGCGCCCAATGATCGATATCTCAGTCCCCCCTCCAATGATGTCTTGCTGTCTGTCTCCAGCCAAGCCGGGGATGCAGGGCGAACCCCAACATCTTGGCCGTAAAGCTTGACCTGGACCAGGCTTTTAGGCCAAGACGGGTAGGCGCTCGCTGCCGCATCCACGACGACGATGACGCCGGCCGGTCTTGGCGATATCCACCGGATCCCACGCTCCGCGGAGAATAATCTGATTTGGCATCCGCTCACAGCTTCTGTTGTCTTTGCGCGCCCCTCGCCCGCGCCATACTAGCGTTCGGATTCCCGTTCGAGACAATACATCACCATCCTTTGCGTCCGCATTTCTAAGCGCCAGTCCCCCACGGGAAAAAAGAACCAACCTTCCCGAAAGTGCCACCTCCGTCCCACGGCCTTCGTCTCATCCACGCCGGTCGGCACCAAGATCGGCACGCCCGCCGCCCCCGCGGGAGGAGACTGCTCGGTCGACCAGGTGATTAACCCGCGCGCCGAACCTACATCGTGGGCCACCAGTGGTGCTTCGCTGCGACGGTCAACAACATGGCGACAGGCCACGTCACCCATTAATCGACGGCATTTTCGGAAACACGGCTAAAATCCACGGCATCTATTGCATCATCTGGGGCCTGCGCCGCCTCGCTAAGCACTTGACTGAAGAGTAATGGACCTGGTTCAAGGAGAAGATCCTGCGGCTGTCGCCTCCTAAGACGGATATGCAGCCCTCCGATTGAAACCTCTGCATCACGTCGTCCATGCCCCAGCCATTTCTGCCGGGAGCCTGTCGAATGTCCTATCCTCCTGCCCCAGCACCGTTGCAGCCGACAGTCCGTTCCGTACACAATGCCGCTCCTTCCCCTTCCCCCGACCCTCGACGGTCTGGAGATGGCGGCTATTTAAGTTCCGCCTCGAATTCTCCCGGACACCGGCGCCGCATTAGTATCAAGGTTCCCCACTTTCGAATGCCTAGACCGCGAGCTATGGCGACCCCGAGTTACGCTACAACATGTACCTAGCACATCGCGTCACGACGGTAGCGGGGAGGGTACGTACCTCTAGCTACAGCTTACTTCGCGGCGGCAACTCGGGTTGCGAGGCCGTTGCACTACTCAGTGCCGGTGTGCTCTCGCTCAATGCGCCGCCTAACGTACAGCGTCTGGCGTCAGCGTTCTCTGCAGTTGAGCTAGTCATGCAGTCGCCGCCCACTGTTCGAATAGCCAGATAATGAATTACAATGCCAGACCAGGCCTTACTGAGATTTGTACGGTGCATTCCATTCGTGACTCGCCGTCCACCATAGGCCATGAAGCGTAGAATGGTCCGCCTCGGATGCTCGGCATCCCCCTCACCACCCTGCAGAGCTCTGCGTCGGCCCTGACGCCCAAGCGATATCATCTGCCCAACTGCTCCACCAGCCAATCACCATTCCCCTACATCAAATTCGCATCTCGCATTTTAACCCCAAGGACCACAACCCACCACCAACCACTCGCCACGATGGCCAGTACTAACAGCGACCCCCGCGGGAGTACCCGGAGAGAGAATGAACGTTATAAAGGAGTTGTTGGCTTCGCGATCGATGTAGGTATTTCAGATTTAACCCTAGGGGTTGTCCGTGCTACAAAGCAAATGCTGTTGGGAAAACCCGAAGTGCCCAACATTCATGCACGCAGATCACCCTCGCCTACCTGGCAAGGCGCAGTCCCTGACCGGAAGGAGCTGGATGAAATAAGGATGACACCCGCTATCCTCCACGGACATTGCTTTTCAAGAGGCCCGAACATCAGCTGCTAAACAAAAACGGTAACGGGCTGATTTAATTTGCATTAATCTGCTTCCTAATGTTTCTGTGGCTTGCTTCTGCTGCATCCCCCCTCACATTAGTCACTTCCTCGGAGTGATAGTGGCGTTTACCCCGCTCGGCAACCCCTACCTCCTTCTATCGGTGGTGGTTCTAGGCCACTGCCAGACCGCAAGCTTGATTCTCCTTACAAAATACCAAGCTGAAATATGCATCTCGTTCAAGACCTTGATCCGGACAAGGGGGGAAAGCTCAAAGTGCAGTACAGATGTAGCGTGGGGAACAAACTTGACTTCAAAATACATAGGTACACCAGGGCTAACAAAGTGCAGCCTGGAAGCGGATGTGAGAGCTTAATAGGGCTGAGGATAAATGTTGCGGTCGGGAGGAAAAGCGGCGTCTTCGCTGCCGCGCCGAATCGCTTGCTAGCATCAGCGTCGTCGCGTTGGCGGGGTCACACAGTTCCCTATGTCGCTGATTCAGCGCAGTGATGCTGTATGCAATAAATCTCTGGATCTATCAGCCACGGTCAAGGAAGCGCGGTAAAATAAATTTGGTGGTTGGACACTAAACAGTACAACACTAACGTCTTCGCCCGCAGCCATATGCTGCCATATCAACCAAGTCTGCCTCGAAACTGCACCACCCCGCCTCTCGCAAAAGCGATCCTGCCCGATTTGGGAAGACGACTCTACATTTCTTAAGCGCCATCCACAGAAGCCGCTGCTCATCCAAACCCCAACATTTTCTTTCCCACGTCTCAACAAGCCATAGATTAGCTGCACATATAACCGGGGAAGGCGCCTGCTAGGGAAACAGTTAAGCAGTTCTCCATGTCCATCTTTGCCTGCATCAAATACTTTCAGAAGACCCTGCACTGATGGCCCTTGCGAACTTGACTCAACTTCTCAGCTCCTTGATCACTGCAAATCATGTCCTTCATTACCATGGAATCCTCGACGCATATGGCCATATCTCTGTCCGGAACCCGAACAACGTTTCCAACTTCTTCCTGTCCAGGGATCTAGCACCCGCACTAGTCTCCTCACCCAGCGACATCGTCGAGTATCGTGTCGAAGATGCTTCAGCTGTTGATCCTAGCCCTCCCGCTGGCTATATCGAACGCTTCATTCACAGCGAGGTATTGAAACGATATCCTACGGTCAACAGCGTGATCCACAGCCACACTCTAGCCGTGATTCCGTTTGGCATTACAGAAGTGCCACTGCTACCTGTGGACCAGACGGGTTCTGTCTTAGGTTTGACTCCCTGTAACCAACGTGCTGCTGCCCTTATCTAACTACCAGCAGGCGAAAATGCTCCGGTATTCGAGATCGCCGACTATTTCCTTCCTTCAGACAGTCACACCCTAGTCGTTCGCAATGCTCGCTTTGGTGCGGCCCTCGCATCTCTTTTCTCCAATAACGGCTCCGAAAACACCACTACTCCTACGAACAATGTGGTTCTCATGCGTGGTCATGGCATGGCAGTTATTGGACCCGACATTGTGGCAGCTGTTTTCCGATCCATCTATACTCGGAGCGTCGCGGATACCCAGAGAGACGCCCTTATTGTAGCGGCGCTGGGTGGTACTGATGGACAGCCAAACAAAGCAGGCAAGGGCGGACTGATCCGGTACCTGTCTGAGCGGGAGAAGCATAACATTATCACGCTTGGCACATCATTCTTCAAACGCGCTTGGGAATTGTGGGTAAGGGAGGTGGAGGCAGCTGCGGCTGGACAGTTGTACCAGAATAGTTTCGGCAGCCCGCTGTAAGATATCAGCCGAAGCGGGGTCCCGGGATCCGGCGCGGCGCGCGGACATATTCCGCACGTTGCGCCAACCTCGACTCGCAATTGCCTCTCGCGGCCTGCGAGTGCCGGGAACACATTGCTCCGAAAGAGCAACGCAATGTCGCAGCCCCTCACCAACATAATGTAGTTGTTGACTCTGGAAGCAAGCCATGCCTTTTTGTTTCTGTCGCCATCGAGACGACTCGGCGCGACAGCCAGACCTGATCCGCGGCCCCCGAAGCGAGCACGATTGACAGAGACAGGCATGTGACAGCGTAGACTTGAGGACGAGAAGGCAGAGCACGCGCACAAGGTATGGCTAGCCACCTTTGCGCGTGGAGAGTTCGTGGCTAATTGAGAAATACGTATAGACGACTTTATACCACCCGGAACCCAAGGCTCCTGGTCAATCCGCCTCGTTCCTCCCAGATTTTGTCAGACCTCTCCACCGCAAACCCACCCATTCGTTTCTGAGTGGCTAGAGTCGGTCCTAGAAGCACGCTGCCGGCCGGATAGCTATCTTTTCCGCTCGGCCGACCGTACGAGAGGGCTCAGAAGATCGGTGGCCGAGATGGGTAACAGACGGTATGCCGATGGGTATGCGGTCCCGCCGACGTCGGCATCTGCTGGGGGCTAGCCGTTCCCAGGAGATGGAGATGCCGAATCGGTTGCGCCTTCGGACCTTACCGGTACACTTTCCGGATCAGAGCGGTCACCTGGACGGAGTCTCGTCGAGAACCCACATCGGGACATGAATTTGGCCGCGAACAACGTCTTCATGCGCCATCCTTGCGACCCGATCCCAAAACACATCGCTAGTGTTGTCGACCATGTTCGCCGAGACCGAGATTCTCCGGGCCCGTCGCTGCATGAAAGCAGGCAAGACAGGGATCTGTACGATCTCTCCCTGGGTGCAGCAGAACCGGGCGTGGAAAAGTATTTCATAGTCGTATTTTCCCTGACACCAAATCGCCAGACGCACTCAAGCGCAGCGATAGACAGCCAATGGCTAAGCACACTGTTCCGAGCTCGGGATCCAAACACAAAGTCGGCATTCCAGTGCCCGACACGCTTTTGGGATACAACCGCAAGGAGGCGTTTCCTCAGCGACAAACCCAGCTGATCTCCGCTCCGCAACCGCCTCGGACGCCGCATCGAGCTTCGATGCCCAGGAGGATTCACGCCACTGGCAAAACCAAAGTCAGACACTCAATATGCCACTGAACCAGTTACAAAGGAGAGTCAGCGTTAGTAAACTTGAATAACAGGACATGGCCTGATTTACAGCCGACCGCTACCGTAGATCCCGAAACAGCCGATGACGACGGCTGGAACTCGTGCGGCAACCTCAGCAGGCCCACTTCGCCCTTTGCGATCCAGCAGCCGTCGGAATCGAGGCCATAAGACTGCCGCTCCTGCCGCTGTCGAGCGGGGGCTATTGCGGCGGAAGATATACTACCACGCAAAGCTGCGGCGGGAGCGGCAATGCTTAAGCTTATGCGACCGGCATTGGTAAGGAGGGACGACATTGCAATGTCGAACTCGATAGTACGAATGAGACGGCTCGCCGATATTGTCTGTATTAGCTCGCCCGTGCCGGCATGCCACAGCTTGACCGTCCTATCGTGCGACGCCGACGCCACGGGCTGGCCGTCCGGCGAAAAGGCGATGGCCGTAATCGAATAAGTATGGCCCGTTAGCGTTTGCACCAGCGGGCTCCAATCGGCATGTGGCGTAGGCTGGATGGTCACCCATTTAGGTTCTTCTCTCCGAAATAATTGGCGTATTAAGCTGGCCACAGGAGCGAATAATAGGGCCGACTTGTATGCTTGGAGCGGAGCGTCCTTGATAATGGATCCGTTGGAGCGGAGGAACCGGTGCGCGTCTTGTATCAATGAAAGCAGTTCCGAGTCGGCAATGATTGTCTGTAGCACGATTAGTAGGAATTTAGGCGGGCGGGAGCTAGAGACGCGCCTCAAGCAGCCTTTCCAGCCTTGCCACAGCCAAGACGCCGTCGGAGATGGCGCCACACAAACTTAGCGCCTCGTTCCAGCTGTCCAAATAAATTATACGGGGTGGGGGATTTTGTGCCTGAGGCACCCATAAGCCAATCTTTGCCTTGAGGAACGAAAGGCTCTTGAAAGACGGGCCGCGGAGAAGGGTGGGACTCCCGCTTTTCCCCTGCCAAAGGCTGACCTGAGGAGTACCCACAGTAACGGGTGGGATTCCACCAGTCAATGTGGATTTCATAGAATGACTCTTACAGGAGACGCAAACCGCAAGCGGTTCGCCCAAAGGAGCCTTGAGGAACGAACATACAGCCGATCATGAAGGAGCGCACATGTTGTTTGGTTGGTTCGAACGAACCTGAAATTGATTGTGGGTTTTTAGCTTGGTTTAAGGACTTGGGAGGGCAGGTTCACTGCTTTGATGGGTACAGAGCATTTGACGCCGGCAGCTGGCACCAGGTGCCAGCTACTCCTATTTGAGATGTGAAAGGGGATGCAAAAAAAATTTGATGCCTACCGATCGCCCAGTAACCGTCTCCATCTACATATCACATATGCATCTCCAAAAATGGCCCAGTACTGTACCAGTTGCCAAAAGACGCCTCCCGAAGTGACTTTGAAGCACTGCGCGAAGTGCTCGGTCACGCTCTACTGCTCTCGCGACTGCCAGAAAGCCGACTGGACGGCCCACAAGAAGGTATGCGGCAGGGACGGCGGCACCGCCTCGGGCTCCCCTAGTGGACCCGACGTACCGATGGCCAACACGATATTCTCGCCTTCGAAGGGCCTCGATCGGCCTATTATCGAGCCCTTTACCCGCCTCGACAACGGCACCTGGCTGCACGACCGCTCTGAGAAGGACGTATACCGCTTCCTCATCGATTCCTACCGCCTACGTGTAGAGGATAACTACAACCTGGAGGGTGAGGCCGATGTCGACAGCCTTTATGGAGGGGCGTCCAACGGGTTGAACGGTTTCAAGCGCTTTCTTCGGCTCGCTGGCTCGCGACGTGGCCTGCTTCCGCCGTGGTGGAACGCCGGGAAGCAGCGCGAGTGCGAGGAGTTTGGCATGGACGCGTCGCAATTCCAGGACTTGCGCTGTGCGGTGGAGAAGAGCGACATTATCGAGAACTACGGCGACTCGCGCTTCCCAATGCAACTGCGCATGCTTGCCGAGGCGGTTTACCGCTGTGGTCCAGGAGGACAGGATGGGACAGCCATGAGAAAGGCTATGGTAGCCATGGAACAAGGGACTGCGGGGTCTGGGTCCCCAGTGACCTCCATGGTGACGATAAACAGCCTTACGGGAAACACTGCCACCATGCATTCGGTCGGGAGGAACCAGTAGCGGGCCGTGCAGCATGGTACATGGCTATTTATCTCGGCAGGAAAAGGATCAAAAGAGAGCGGTCCCCATCCGGCGCGATCCCTACCGCCTATACGTGCGGCTGTCGCGGTGTCCGTCACTTGACGGCATCATGCTGCTGTCGAAGGCGCCAGGGCGGGTGGGCAACACGGTACCACGTGATTTTCCGAAAGGTCCTACGTTGGTGGGTCATGAGGTACGTGGCCATGAAGAAGGACAGGTCGCCGTAGATCCCAATCGCCAATTGGAGCGAGTTCATTACCGTGGTATCCTGACAGAGTAGGTCTAGGCGGCCGGGGATCCGACCCTGCGGCGGCTGCTGACGCGGATCCGGCAAGGCATACGAGACAACTCCGACGTGGACCTCCCGAACAGCAGGCGCTATCGGAGGGCAGGCGGATCCCCTAGGAGTCGGGCATCACGGTAGTGACGCCGCTGAACCGGAACCGCTGGAACCTAAACGTCGAGGCAGTCCTGTCCTTCCAGAGACGGCGGCACGCCCGCCTCCGGATCTTCGTCTCCGAGCACAGGTGGAAAGGCGACCAGCCGACAAAAAAGGAGGCCCTGATGGTGCTGGGTCAGAGGGACGACAATGCCATCCCCATTCCCGCCGTTTTTATATTTGTTCCCGGTATGCCCGTCGTAGTTAACCAAAACACCCACCAGGGCCTGAAGGTGGTTAACGGCGCTGCCTATACAGCCCTAGACGTCATCCTCGACAAAGCGCACCCGGGCCACCGCGTCAGTGCCGATACCATCCTCCACTTCGGTCCGCCGGCGGGCATCATGCTGGCGTCCGAAACGACGAGGGACCTTCACTTCGTGGGCATGCCGGCCGGCACCGTCCTCCTGACGCCTATCAGCACAAAAATAAAAAGCCAGAAAAAGCGGCCGTGGAAACGGGGCGACGTCGTCCGCCGGGGTTTGCCGTGCGTAGCAGCGTTTGCCTGTACGGATTACAAAATGCAAAGCAGGATATTGGACCGGGCGGCGCTGGAGCTGCGCGGGACGCGGACGACAACGGTGAACGGGGAAGCGGTGCCCAGCCAATGCGACCCTTACAGCCTCTACGTGCAGCTGTCGCGATGTAAGACGCTGGACGGCATCACGCTCCTGTCCAAGGCGCGGGAGCGTGACTTTGTGGGCAACACAGTGCCCGAGGAGATGTCGCAGGCGGAGCAAGCGGAGTTATGGGGCTGGCCGGAAGAAGGTTTTGATTGAAAAAAAAAAAAAAAAAAAAAAGAAAAGAAANAANAA